GTTTACAGGGGATGGGGATGGGATGGGGATTACAGGGGGTGGGGATGGGGATGGGGATGGGGATGAGGTAGAGGGATGTGACCCCCCCCAAACCTGCCCTTGGAACCTGGGACTGCACAGACCACCCAGCCAATCAGCACTCGGGTACCATCCCACCAATCACCACTCAGTACCATCCCACCAATCAGCACTCAGGTACCATCCCACCAATCAGCACTCACAGAGAGCCCGGCCAGTCAGCCCATATGAACCAATGACCAATCAGCAGTCACAGACCGCCCAGCCAATCAGCACACACGGAGCTCAACATGTGGGCAGGTACTGACAGCTCAACCAATCAGCAGCCAGACCCAGTGATCTCAGCCAATCAACACACAGGTCTCTAGATCCCAGCCAATCAGCAGCCAGCCCCATAATCATTGCCCCAGCCAATCAGCAGACAGGAGCACAGATCCCAGCCAATCAGCAGGCAGGTCCATAGATCCCAGGAGCAGCCATGGTGTCCCTGCTGTCCCATCCCTCATCCCACAGAAGTCCCGGAAGCAGCTCCAGGAGCATCCAGGAGGGAGAGGGAGGCTGAGCACCCCCAGCCTCGGCCAGGCCGCTGGTGACATCCTTGGGAAGTGCTGGGACAGGGGACAGCAGGCGCTGGCCAGCCCTGAGCAGCTCTGTGCCCGCCCTGCTCCTGCTCCCGGCCATTCCCCACCAGCCTGGGGCCATGGGGGGGCCGTGGGTGGGGGACGGGCGGTGCCCCACAGGTCCTGGCCACCCTATGGGCCCCCAGGATTGGGGACACCCAGCTGGGAAAGGGGGACACACCAGGAGGGTGTGACCCTGTCCCCCACACCCTGTGTGACCTCAGTTCCCAAGTCTTGCCCTCTCCTCTCTCTCCAAGCCCTTTTCCCCCCTGCTTCCATCCCAACCCCTGGGGTGTCCCCTTGTCTGCATATCTCTCTGGTCCATCCCACGGCCCATCCCCTGTCCCCATCCCCTGTCCCCATCCTCTGTCCCCATCTTATGCCCCTATCCCTGTCCCTGTCCCTGTCCCTTTTCCTATGCCTGTGCCCATCCCTCTCCTCATCCCCGTCCTCTTCCTTGTGCCCATACCTATCCCCATCCCTGTCCCCACCTTATGTCCCTGCCCCCTATCCCCATCCCATGTCCCTATGCCCATTCCCTGTTCCCATGTCCCTGTCCCCATCCCCGTCCCCATCCCGAGTCTCCCATTCCCTGTTCCCATTCCCTTTTCCCGTTCCCAGTTCCCATTCCCTTTTCCCGTTCCCAGTTCCCATTCCCTTTTCCCGTTCCCAGTTCCCATTCCCTTTTCCCGTTCCCAGTTCCCATTCCCTTTTCCCGTTCCCAGTTCCCATTCCCTTTTCCCGTTCCCAGTTCCCATTCCCTTTTCCCGTTCCCAGTTCCCATTCCCTTTTCCCGTTCCCAGTTCCCATTCCCTTTTCCCGTTCCCAGTTCCCATTCCCTTTTCCCGTTCCCAGTTCCCATTCCCTTTTCCCGTTCCCAGTTCCCATTCCCTTTTCCCGTTCCCAGTTCCCATTCCCTTTTCCCGTTCCCAGTTCCCATTCCCTTTTCCCGTTCCCAGTTCCCATTCCCTTTTCCCGTTCCCAGTTCCCATTCCCTTTTCCCGTTCCCAGTTCCCATTCCCTTTTCCCGTTCCC